TCTCCATCTGCTTAGAGATAAACATATAATGAAGATAGCCGGCAGACGATACCGAGCATCTGAATCTGCTCTTGAGGATTATCGACGAGGAGGTATGGACGACATTGGCATGGAAGTCAACGTTCTAATATGTATTCGTCAAATAATCGAATCAAATTTAACAGATCGTTTCTCTGAATTGATTGAACACAAACTACCAGTTATAAATAGCCGGATGGTTGGCAGTATTATCGATGCGGTACAAAGCGAAAACGTTGCCAAATCAACTGATGATGCTGTCACGACGAAAGACAATTTGATTGCAGAATTAAGATAGAGTAATCATCTTCTTTCATCAGCTGCCCACTTAAAAGAAAGAAATGATGGAACTAAAGAAAACCGTATGGATCGAGCAGAGAAAACAATTGTTCGAACATTGCACAGATTAATTCAACAAACGTATGACATCATTGATAATAAACTACCACTACTAGTCTATAAGAAGAACAAAGGACTCTGCTCCAAAACTGACCACAGTGTGCATGAGTGCCCAAACAACGACTATTTAAAAAAAATCTCATTACTGGAAATAACCTTCAGATGAACTAACAAATGCAAACTGCGATTTAATCGTTACCGATAGTTATAATATGGTGGCAATACATAATTGAATTGAATTTTTTTTCTCGTTCGTTTATGTATGATATATTTGATTTTGAAAAGGTGATTACTTATATTTTAGCTGTATTTCGATTCGGTCATTGCGAGATTGAGAAAAACAATGACCAAATAGAATAATTAAAATGTTGCATCTGTAAGCGAGAGTTCCCTTTTCCTATGAAAGATGTCAAATTGCAAGCGCATTTATTTTATAAAATGTCTGAAAATATGACTTTTTCAATCAGCATGAACAACTGAATAGGATCGCCTGTCGGGGAAGTTTTAAACTTCCACAGGGGCCAACGACTATCTTCGTATAGTTGTTGGAGGCGACCCTGGGCTGCTGGTAGCCACTCGTCTGGTCATGAGACTATCGACCTCTAGTTGGACATTAAACAATTATTGCTAACGAAAAGAAACATTATCGGTGCGTAAATGCACAAAATTATGTCTTTTTCGGTGGGTGGAACGTTAGATCTTGTGTGAAACAATCAAAGAAAGAAATTATAACCAATCAATTGAAACAATATAGAATACAAGTGGCCGCATTAAGTGAAACATGTATGTG